GCCACCACTTTTTCGACGGCGACGGCATGCTCCACGCGGTCACTTTCTCCCCAGGCGCTGCCGGCACCGCCTCCTATGCCTGCCGCTTCACCGAAACAGAACGCCTCCGCCAGGAACGCTCCCTCGGCCGCCCCGTCTTCCCCAAACCCATCGGCCAACTCCATGGCCGAGCCGGAATCGCCCGCCTGGCCCTCTTCTACACCCGCTCCCTCTTCCATCTCGTGGACCCCTCAAACGGCACCGGCGTGGCCAACGCCGGCCTCGTCTACTTCAACAACCGCCTCCTCGCCATGTCGGAGGACGACGTCCCTTACCACGTCCGCCTCACCCCATCCGGCGACCTCCACACCGTCGGCCGCCACACCTTCAACAACCGCCTCACCTCCAACATGATCGCCCACCCCAAAATCGACCCCGTCTCCGGCGAACTCTTCGCCCTCTCCTACGACGTCATCCAAAAACCCCACCTTAAATACTTCCACGTCTCGAAATCCGGCGAGAAGTCGCCGGACGTCGAGATCCCCACCTCCGACCTTACCATGATGCACGACTTCGCTATAACCGAGAACCTCGTCGTCATACCCGACCAACAAGTCATTTTCCGGCTCGCCGAGATGGCCTCCGGCGGGTCCCCCGTCGTTTACGACGAGAACAAGGTCTCGCGTTTCGGCGTGCTCGGAAAGTACGCGCGAGATGCCTCGGAAATTAAATGGGTCGACGTGCCCGATTGCTTTTGTTTTCACTTATGGAACGCGTGGGAAGAGCCCGACTTAGACGAGGTTGTTGTAATCGGCTCGTGCATGACACCGGCCGACTCGATTTTCAACGAGTGCGACCAAGGCTTGGAGAGCGTCTTGTCCGAAATCCGACTAAACCTTAAAACCGGGAAATCCGTGCGGAAACCCATATTGTCCGAAACGGATCAAGTCAACCTCGAGGCGGGTATGGTCAACCGGAACATGCTCGGTCGGAAGACACGGTTCGGGTACCTCGCGATAGCCGAGCCGTGGCCCAAAGTCTCGGGTTTCGCAAAAGTCGAGCTCTCGACGGGTAAAATCGAGAATTACATTTACGGAGACGACAAGTACGGTGGGGAGCCAATGTTCGTGCCCACGGGCAAAAGCAACGAGAACGAAGACGAGGGTTACGTGTTGGGTTTCGTGCACGACGAGAAAAACGGGACTTCGGAGCTCCAAATTGTGAACGCGAAGACTATGGAGTGGGAGGCGAGCGTGAAGCTGCCGTCGAGGGTGCCCTACGGTTTTCACGGCACCTTCGTCAGGGCCGAGGATTTGGTGAATCAAGCGTGATTTTAACTTTTTACGGTTATGGACAAGGTTGAATTTTTTCATTTTACAGTGGAGAATTTACAGGTTACTGTTTGTTTTTCTGAAGTAACAATAATAGGTAATGTGCAAGGGGTTTAGCCTTTTAGGGGACCAGCTCGTTGCTTTGGAATATGAAAGCTCGGCTGGGTTTTTTCTCTCTTTTATTGCTTTCACATCACATGATGTGATGAAAGTAGAAACAATTTGACGTTTGCATTAGCTGAAAGGACAATATAAGATTTTGGTTATTTTCATGCTTTTTATGTTCTTGCTAAAATGGCTCTGTTTTCCCCTGTTCGTACACTCTGTTTCTGTACTATAATTTTCTAGCCCAAGTTTGTGCAGTACCACTACTATGTGTCAGGGCAATTATGCAAGCCCCTAATCACTCCCAAAAATAAAAAAAATGAGAGAGTGTAGTACATATGTCACTTTCTTTTTTTTTTTTTAATTAAAAATGAAACATATTAGATATATTAAAATATCATTAATGATTTATATTAAAATAAAAAAATAAATATACCAAAATTCATAAATTTTCATTGTCTATAAATAGAGACCACATTTTATAGGTTTTTTTTACATAATTAATTTTTTTTTCGTCATCAATTTATTATATGACATAGGATGAACATGTTACATAATAAGATGAATATGTTATCAAATAAGATGAACATGTTACGGACATGTTCATCTTATGTTATAACATGTTCATCTCATTTTTTAACATATTCATCTTATTTTATAACATGTTCATCTTATTGTGTAAATATGTAACATGTTCATCTTATTCTATAACATGTTCATCTATCTTACTATGTACGATGTTCATCTTACTATGTAACATGTTCATCTTATTTTATAACATCTTACTATGTAACATGTTCATCTTATTCTATAACATGTTCATCTTACTAAGTAACATGTTCATCTTATTATGGATCTGCGTCTTCATCTTCCAACAAAATAAATTAATTGTGAAAAGTGATAAATTAATTGTATTCTAAACTTATCAAATGTGGTCTCTATTTGTAGAGAATGAAAAATTATGAATTTTGGTATTTTTATTTTTATTTTTTAATATAAAATATGATGATAATTTAATTTATATAATATGATATATAAAATTCATTATCTAATAGAAATGGGACACATGTCCCATTTAAAAGAAAAAAACTTACCTCACGCGCTTTTTTGAGGGATTGTATTTCACAAAGATTTTGGCACACCTTGCTAGGTGTGTCAAGGCGCACCTAATTATTTGCGAAGTTTGTGGGGACTTTTTTTTTTTTAAAAAAAAAGGTGGGAAATTGCAAGTTGAAATAAATAAAATTGGAGCAAGTTTCAATCTTTAGTTCTTTCGGATATAAAGTTCAATAAAGCTACTCCTCTTTCTTTTTGTCCTTAATCAAAACTTCATCTTCATCTTTGTATCACTTTTATCCATATAAAGAGGAACTTACAAAATAAGTTCATACTCATAGCATCCTTAGTCAACAGATATATTTACATTCAAAACTAAAATTTATATCATAAGTATGCACATTTTGTTTAAAAATTATGACAGTCGATCTGTCAAACAGTTAGTCAGTGTTACAGTGTGTTTTGGTGTAACAACAATTACCATTTTCATTGAATTGAAGGATTAATGTTCTATTTGTTTCTCAATTTTAGTCCTTACACTTCTTCATTTTTACTTTTATCATATAGTTTATGTGGTTTGCAAATATTTGAAGCAGGGGCACATGATTGGTGAGAAAGGATCATAATGCAAATATGCAATCATCAAGTCATGTTATGTGCAATAAATGTCGAGAGCCAATTGAATTGTTGCGTCGAAAGTGTTAATGTTTTAGAAATTATGTGACCAATCAAGCCTTCATCTTTTCTGGACATGCCCACAACCTGTCGTTTCCATGTCTTGAATGGCTTAAATTTGTTATTTGTTACAAAATAATAATAAAATAAGAAGAGTACTTGATATTTATTAAATTAATAGACTAATTAAGAGCGTGTCTGTATACTAATATATCCGTTCAAAATGAGTATTTTGATTAATTGGGATTAACTTATAAAAAATTAGTATGATTAGTTGTTACGGAGTTTGAGTTATATTAAAATAATATTTTGACAGAATTAAATTTGAATTGATGTAAATGTAGGAGAGAAATGACGTGAAGGAATGATTAATTAAAATTATGTAAGTAGATGAAAGGTGAATTAAAATTAATATGATATATAAAAATAATTGTTTGATATTATATAATTATATTAATAATATTGAAAATTGTGGAGTTGAGTTATATTTTGGGTATGAGTTTATAAACAAACACACCCTAGGAAATTTTTTATATAAGTCCATTTATCTAAGAGTAATGCTATAGAGCCCACTTGGATGACATCTAAGTAGGCTAAATAGCATTACTCTTTATCTAATAGCACTTAGTCCGTGCGATACACGAGACAATAATTATAAACTACATATATTAAAGCAATGAAATATATATTAGTATAAAAATAATTTTGAATATTCATCTTATTTTGAAATATTCAATAATATAAAAATAGTTTTAAATATTCTTCTTATTTTTTTTTTAATTTTTTTATGATGTATAATATATTAATATATGATTTATATGTTTGTTTCGTTTGTTATAAAATAGTTGTCATTTTAGAGTGGATAATGAAAATTTATATATTAAAACATCATCAATCCCCTTATATATAATTACCGAATGTATTAATCCTAAATGACAGATTAATTAATTGAAAATGACTGCAATATATATAATAATGTATATTTAAATATTTTAAATTTTGTTTCTAATCTATTAACCTATATGAAATTTGTTATGATTTTGGGAATCGCAATATAAATTTTTAAAAAAATTGGTTTGATGTAGTTATCGACAAAATCAAAGGATTTTTTTTAACTTCTTGAATAGATTTTTGGTATATGGCTCATTACCAAATTAAGATATCAAATCTATTGTAATATTGTGGTAGTTATGCCAATAAAATTTTTGCAGTTGATTTCTAAATTTAACTTATACCTTTCAATGTTTTCACTCATATTTCAAACTAAATATGGTTGGATGTCCTACGAAGAAGGAGAATGCATTATTTACTATTAAGGATAAACATTGTTTTGGTATTAAGATAAATGTTAATTTCTTTTGATATAGTAGAAAACTGTGTTTATAACTTTTAAAAAATTGAATTGAATGAGTTATTGATAAATCAATGATTCTAAAAGAATCTTCTTGATTAAATTTTGTTTCGAAGATGCGATAAAAAAATATTTTGATATATAATGGGTTACCAAATACATAAAGTATCACTGTAATTATTTATTAACGTTGATAAATAAGACTTGTGATAAGTATTAAAATCATTTTTTTTTCTTTTTGGTCCAATTTGAGACCATTTATATATTATCGTTATGTGGAAAAAACAAAATTAGTAAAACATACAAAAACAACAAAAAACAAAAAACAAAAAACAAAAAAGATGGTCGCGTCGAAATTTGAAGAAACTAACCTGCACCCCCACCAATCAATCCCTTTCTCTCCCCACAAACTCGACGCGTGTCCTCCCACCCCCACTTTCTCTTTCTATATATACCCTCCAAACCCCCCTTTCCCTCTCATTCACTGGACAAAAGCAAAATTCACTTCTCACTCTTGTCTTCAAATATTTCTCTCTCCAAAACACACACAAATAGACAAACTTTTCAACACACTCACATAATAA